ACACACACACACACACACACACACACACACACACACACACACACATACACATCAAATATCGAGTCTTCAAGCCTTTATTTGAATTGTGGCCATTTGATGTCAGATTTGAAGGAATTTCTACATAATCGCCTTTGTCTAGTCCTGCTTGGGGTAGTTCTCTATCTAACTAAACTCTAATTCAGAAACACTTTTCATCTGGTAAGCCACTTCCACATCTTCTAATTTTCCTGGTTCATTCAGTCTTTCAACAAGGAAAATAAAAAAGTACCATTAGACACATGCCAGAGAATAAGTCAAGATAAAAGCAAAAGGCCGAGGAGAGAGCAGGCCCAGGGTAATGGTGGTCTGTAGGGACAAGAATTTTAGGGGCCATAGCTAAGATGGTAAATTAGGACAGAACTAGTTAATGGTTCGTGAGAAAGAAAGAGAGGCGAAATCAGTTTTTCCTAGATATTATGTAAATTATACGATTATACAACTCCTGTAACTATGTTAATTTTCAACCAATGTCTGGCCAGTGTACTGTATGAAAGTCCGGTTCCATCCCCAACTCCTGCGGTGATTCGTAACTGCATAGTAATGTGGGAATCTGAGAATGCAGGATGGAGGCGGAACTAGGTGAAATACCAACATACCAACAGGCTCACCTTTCAGAATAGCATTCCCATCAACACACACACACACACACACACACACACACACACACGATCTGTAAAGTACCATCTACAGTAACAATGGTGTCTAAGAAATTATTGTGAGAATTAGGGAAATTAATGCAATGTGTTCACTACTTCTATTGAGGCAAGCAGTTCCTAATACATACAAATCTCCACATAGTATACTTTAAGTTTATACAGAGAGAGAGAGAGAGAGAGAGACAGAGAGAGAGAGAGAGAGAGCACTAACTAGACATCAATAGGAGAAAAAAGACAGAGAAAACACAATTAATGTACATGAAACATGAAGCCAATACAGCGGTTCTCTGTAGAGGTTCCCAACATCCATTCATTCAACGTATGTCTAAGTACGTTATTACTGCTGCTGTTCACACCTTTTAAAAGTCACTGCCTGGATGCTCCGGAAACAGCAGTGGGAGCTACTGTTCCTTTTGTCGGCATTAAGCCCTTCGAAGGCACGATCATTTCAACTCTCACAATAACCATGGAGGACCAGTACTGCACCACAGTACATGTGCAAAAGTGAAGAAGACCCTGACAAGACTCCCTGGAAGACGTCCAGCTCCTCTAGGAAACAAGCAACAATGCCAGTGTTGACAGACAGGAGCCGCTCCTTCCAAGTCTTAGCTTTTTACCCGACAGGATTTTTTAATCCCCCTTTGGAAGAGTGCTTTACAAACGGAGATGTTGAAAATGCTGACACTGTGAGGCACTTAGAGATTT